AACGATCGACTGCTATAGGAATTTTTATCGATCGATTAAAATTGGTAATAAGAGAATACTGATAGCGTAACAACGGTTGAGTATACTCGTAAGAGAAGCTATGGCAGTTGGTACTCTGAAAGCGATAAACAGGAGTGTTGCGTTTCTCACGTTTACAGGGTTATCTTGGGAACTCGAGTTAGGTTCCGTGGGGCAATAAACAGGAATGGAAAATGAAAGGCGGTTTCGTAGGGATCGAAGCCGCGGAAAAATTCTTTCTCAGGCCAGCCAGTGAAACCAGAACGAATTTGTAATTACGACATTCTAATTTTTCCGCGGCCGTTTTCTCTGTTTCGATCGCGAGCCAGCGGAACGACGGAGGATCTCGTTTCCCCTTCGGCGGTAAAACAGTTTCTAAGCTATCGATCGCCATTCTTTTCCTCCCGTTTTCACAACCTCCATCGATCCTTTTCATTTCATTCGTCGCGAGATTAAAATTTATTTTTCATACTATCTATTATTGAAAGTTGATTTTAGCGTAGCTGAGAAGACAGTTTGCAATTAAGAAACGACCGTTTGGGAACCGGAATAAAAAATACTAAAAACACTTGTGAAACTGTATTCTTACCCAGAAACACAAACCACGACTAATATCTTAAATCCTCTAATCGGCGTAATAAACATTTAAATACACTTTTGACCGGAAAAATCATATCGAAAGAACTCTAATGTTTGTAAAATTGCAACTGATTAAATATTTCTCTTATTCGCAGGGTAATTTGAATATCGAGAACGTCTATTCTATCGTTTTATTATTCCTCAGGTTCGCGGAACGAGAAGTTGCGGTCGTCCATCTGTCATTCGTGAAAAATAACTTTTGTCTTTTGGCCATCTGTCGCGCGGTAATCTCAACCATGGCGGCCCAACGCGACCCTGAGGAATCGCTCTAATAAATTTAACAGATTCATGGATGATCGATCCGCCAGGTTGGGCGCTGGAAGATATTACATACGTGTCGACAGCTCGGTGTACCAAGTTTTTCTCGGTGTCTACGATTGGCCGCGTGGTGCAGCTATCCCGCAGTATAACCTGGTGTAAAGGATGTCACGGAAAGAATCCTCGTATACGTGGCCCAACCGAGTGCTTCCGCATGTACCTAGACGCGGTTGTCATACCTACGCTTAGTATAGATCGCTGGGAACACACACTCCCCAACGACACACGTGCAGACCACGCTAAATTCCCTTCGATGGACGTACAGTGTTCAGAAATAACGAAATTCTACGCCACAAACCTCGATAACAGGATTTTACATAAGTTTTTTTTAATAAAAACGACGATCTTTGAGTTTATTTACGGTGGCTGTTGGAATTTTATCAAATTCCAGAGTTTCTTCTTTCTTAAGATTCGTAGGGGTTGCAATTAATTCTACTAAATATTTAATTCCATAATTGCCAGTTTAGTTCTTACTCGTTCGAGGATCGTGCTGTGATAGTTATTTCGTCCACGTTTAGATTCACGAAGGGCGGTTCCCGGAGATTTCGATGCCGGAAGAGGTCATCGAGTCTGTCCTAACTAGACGCCCGTTAATTGGAATGTTTCGTCGAGAGGGAGATCACCCCCGCCACGGGGGTGAGAAAAGGGAGCGGTTGAATTTTGCACGCCACGCCCTGATCCGACTTCCAGGGACCTGCAGCCCCGCTCTGCTCCTGCTCCCCCTCAAGGAAACATAATTTTCTCGGTTATTACTTTTCCAACGAATCCACGTACTCTTAAACCCGTTACCATAAAACCGTTCTCCACTCTGGTAAATTAACTTTTATTTTTTAAAAATAACACGAAAATTTATATTTGTGTCTCCGGAACCACCCATATTCTAATTTACGAATGATCTCGAAATCTTTATTCGGAAATAAAGTTTGCCCAACCCCATTTGGAGGGGAGGCTGACCCAATTTAAATCTAAAAACACGAACCATAACTCACGCGTTATATTCTCTAACCACGTAATAAACACGCAAGCACGTCGAATTAAAAAGACCTCGTGCAACGTCGTTCGAGGATCGGAAATTTCTCCAAAATCGAGAAATTTACAAATCTCTTATCTGTACGCTCCATCGATTATCATTTACAAAAACCAATTAATCCAATTAAATGCAATCGATGGCCCTCTTCACCGTCTCCAATCATTTAATCCTCCGCGAACGCAGATTTTGGGAGACGAAATGGTTCCTATAGAATTTTATGGAACGTCGATTCTCGAGGACCGTTGGTGCTTTGGAGATAAAAGGAGCACGAAAGGTCCTTATCTACGCGGACAAGTGAGTCGATTCTTCAGGATCTCCATTCTTTTTATTCTACAAATTCGTCAAAATCCCTCCTGTCGATTCCCAGACTCATTTTAAATAAAAAAAATTCGCGTTAATTTTATTTTTAATAACAGAAAAGTTACAGATGGGAAAAACGAATCGAAGCTTTTGGTCTTTGTTATAGTCGTTTTGTTGACTGTGTTATGTTTGAATTAGCCGTGGAACAACGTCTGTTTAATTGTTTTGTTTGTCCGTGATCGCGCACGTGTGCGTTTGCGATCGAAAAATGGGAAATTACGAGCAGGTTAATACCGAACGAAATGGTATGGTCGAGCAATATTGAATCGTGGCTATCGAACGACGCCCGAAAAAATCGATACCAGAACTTCCTGGAAACTGGTTCTGTGTAGGATGCTCAATTGCGTCACTCTCGATCCGCGTAATCTCGTTATCTCGTAAGCTTTCGTTCTAGCGGCGTCTCGAAGCGCGAAATTTAGCCGCTGCTTGCGTCGCCATTGCACGCGACCGACCAGCCACATAGTCTGATCGAACGACGATAATCGTGGGTGGATGGTGGGGGGTCATGGGGGACATATTTCTTATCTGGATACAAATTTCCAGCGAGGAATTAAATATAAACAACCGTTTACCCGTTACCCGTAAAACGAAAATGAAAACTTGGAATACGATAATGTGTACTCCAATTCTTGCGTTGGTCCTATTATATGGCAATTATTCGAATTAAATTTTCCCCATCTTTGGGAAATATCGCAATTACGGGGGAAAAATTATACTCCAAATTAACAAAGTTTTTAGAAGAATTCTTAATTTCTATTTGTGGTATACGTGTTCCTGAATTCAGCGAGATAACGAATTTGATTATTAGCTCTGAACGGTGAATCATGAATGTAAAATCCAGACAAGGTCCACGAAGATGAAATTGATAAAAAAAAATGCTGATCAAGAAGAATACAATTACGATTTAAAATAAATTATTCCGTCGATCTAGAAACGACGTGAACTGGATAGAATTTATAACTAGTTGATGAAATTCCAATACGAAGCTAAAGTTAAAAATTTAACTGTCCTCGGTTCTGGGAATCATCTTTAAAATTTAATCAATTCTATTTGGTTTACACAGAAATGAAAGAATTCCAAGATTTCTGGAAGAATTTTGTTTCCCAAAAGATGGCCATCTCATCCTAGAATTCCTGGACTAATCGTTGACGCTGGCGAAAGAATATATTTTGAAAGCTTATCGTTCGATAACAGATACGACATCCACGTAACCGTTTCCTATAATCATGTTTCTAAGTCATGGTCTTTCCAAGTCTCATTTCTTCTATTTCACAAGCATTTGTTTCGATTCGTGCATTGTTTGTATCGATCAGTAAATTAAATTTATTTTTAGATGAGTGAAAGATTTGGAGTACCAAATATTTGTATAACTTGAACTTTACTGATTCGAAATCCCCATTACTGATCGTGGCCTCGCGTAACAAAAATTCCATTGTATTCTTAATGGGCATTAGCATTTTGTGCGTTAATCGAGAAACGCAGGGAGATAAGAGTCGCCGGTGATCGTAATCTCTCCTCTTTGTGCACTCGACTCGTTAGCTATCGAATTTCGACCGTTTCCAAGCATCTTGTCGCCTTCGTATGTTCCCAAGCCTCCGATGAATCAACGTTAACGTCGCGGTTAGGTCGATCAAAAAACAATAGACGCCTCGTTAAAGCTCCCCCGGGGGGAAAGGGAGGGGCGAGGAAGGCAAACGAAACGAAAACAAAACGCTGAAGAGCAGGAAAAAGTTACTTTTTACGATTTAGGGTCTTCCTGACTCGACGCGTCCAACGAAAATATTTTTGCAGTATATAAACATCGCTCTACCACGCGTGGCATATCTTTTTCTCCACGAACCCCTATTTGGCGATCTAACGGAGCTCGTGGTCCCTTTCTCAAAGTCTGAACGGAGACTTCGAGGCAAAGATGGAAGACAAAATCTGCCCGAATTCCACAGATTTATCAAGAACGTAATCACCGAATTTAATTTACGCGAATAATTATGGAGGCATTGGAGCAAACAAGTCGCTATGATTAAAGGGCAGTAAATAATAATTGTTGTAACACTTGTTGTACAGTATCAAATTAAAAAAATAATTTATACAATATTAAAAAATCTGTTTACAATTTTGTAAGATTAATTTCTGGTGCGCAATATGTTTATCCAACGAAGATGGTAGTACCTACAATAATAACAATCTGTTTTATCGTAGGAGTCGATTCTAAATAATTATGGAATATTCTTAAGGGGTCGATCTAAGATATCGAATCTAAGTTGGGAATCTAACATTGCCTTAAAAATACTGCATTTAAACATTGATTTACATTAATTTTCTTCCGTTTGTAAGAAAACCCTGAAGCGACTTTCTAACCTCAAAGGGTCCCACCCCCTCTTTTAGGGTGCCCTACATTTCAGGCCCAATTTTGTCCCATCTTTGGCTAGTCGAAACAGAAACGAAAGAAAAAGAATCGTCAGGGTTAAACGTACGACCGAAAAAAACTCGAAAGACTCGAATATTTCGACAGAAAAGCATCGCCCAAGGAAAAAAGACGGTCATTCGCGGCGATCGCCATTGGCCCGTCACCGAATCCCTTATCGACGATCGTCGTTGCTCGATCACCTGACCGCGAGCGACGGAGAAAGAGACGTACCTTTCGTCGAGTAATCCATGCTTCTCTCGTCAGCGTCGTGATCGACTCATGGAGCCCCAAGGTCGGCCCTGGGCACTCAACATCCAAACAAACGGAGTACGTTGCACTTATCACGAACCTCCGCCATGGCGGGTACGGCCACCAAAAAAAAAAACCGAAGCTAATCCGTCGATATCTCTTTATCGTCACTGCGCTTACGGTCCACAAAACATCCAAACGAGCACGACGCTCTCCGAAGGAGACGGAATATTCACGTGTGGCGGTCGAAACACGGCGAATAGATAATCGCAAGAAGAGAGGCGACGATTTCTTCAGCCCCTAGGGACCGTCGCGCATGATCGCTGGGGGCGCTCGAACGTCTCTGCGCGTCAGCCTCCGTGGCAGTCCCTCGATATCTCGATACTCTGCTCCTCCATAGGGAGGTGGGGGGAGGCGGCACACACCACTGTTCTTCTCCAGTATCGTTTCTCGAACTGAAAAACCCGAGCGGCGCGCGTCACCGTACGCGTCGTTGCGCGGCGAAGGACGACGGACGAGTAAAGGACTCGTCGATTCGAGAACGGGCCGCGGCTACCGGACGAGAGCACCGCGACGCGAGAGTATCATGCACACTGGCACACGGACAGAGCGAGATAGACAATGGCCGCACAGGGAGGGGGGAGACAAGGTCCATGAGAACAGGTCACGACGGGCCGACTCACCGCGGAGAAGTGACACGGCGCTTCTGACAATTTCTCTCAGCCTGCGCCCGAGCCTCATCATCCCTCCCACCTGGTCCCTCTCCGCTCTCGCTCTGTCTCTATCCCTTCAGTCCCCCCTTCCCCTCGCCAGACACCAGTCTCACCGGTGGTTCCGTCCTCCTCCCCTCTATCTCGCCGCCGGTGCTCCTCTAGAGTCGATCGTCCGTCCTCGTTCCACCAATGCCCGTACCGCGTGCGTCCGTCCTTATTTGCTCTCCTCTTGCGGTCATCCCCACCACCGCCGGCTTCTCCCGCCCGTCTCTACGTCGGTGTACGCGCGCGCGTGTGTATGCGTCTCCACCCGAGAAGCGTACCCTTCTCGTTCTTCTCTCTGTTCCCGTGCTTCTGTCTACCCCTCCCTCTCCCGCCCCCGCCCTCCCCGCCCACTTCTGGGTTTCTCGCGTCTTTTTTCTCTCGTTCGAGTCCCTTCGTCTCGCTCCTTCCAACGAATCGTCCGCCTCTCTCTTTTCTCTGTCTTTTTTCTCACCGTTCTCGTTCCGAGTCTCTCCGTTCGTTCTCTCGTCTCCTGACAGCCAGCACGTCCCCCCACCTACGCTCTTTCTCTTTCTCGCCGCTCTATCTGACCCCCACCCAGCGCGGAGCTGTGCTCCTATGCCGTCGCCGCTATATCGGCGGATAGAACGTGCGAGTGTGTGGGTTCGCCACCCACATGCACAACCCGGAGCCGCTGTAAGCTTCTCCGGACCCGATATGCTTCCCTCTTTCGATCGGTCGAGCGCATCCACGGCGGGAAACGGTGCACCGTTCCTTCGTCGCGCAACGGGAATTACGTAAAGCGAACGACGTAAAGGGGGTGCAGTCGACGAGCAAAACTCTCGACTATTCGTCCCTTTTCTTACTAATAGTTTTATTAGTCCGCGATACGTTAACGCTAGAACTATGGACAATTAACGTATATTTATCTCTGTCAGACCAGTCAAAATGATTGTTGCGCAAGGAAAACAAGTCTCTTTTAAAAATGGGGTACGAAAAACGTTGGGATCGTGTACTATAATTATATAACAAAACGCGATCTTAGCTAGTATAATTTTATGTTGGTCTTACTAAAAAATATACAATACTCTTTCAGTAAAATTTCAGTATTAGAGTATCTACAACTAATGGTGTGACGATAGTTGTATCGAGAAATTGTTATTTGCGCGAAACGAATAAACGAGTTTCATCGAATAACGAATCGTATTCGCGTATATTCTTCTGGAATAAGTCGGCAAAAAGCGTTATTAAAGTCGTTCGGAGGAGTCTGCAATAATGCGCCGCCGCTTCGATCGTGAAAATTGTTGACGATAGTTCCCGTCGATAAGGTGCAAGGTCACCGTCATTGGACGGATGACCGAGCATTAAAGTTTCGTTAGATAATGTATGCTCGAACGTGCGTCAACTCGGCCAGAACAACAGGGAACAACCGCGAAACGATGCCTTACGCGCGCCATTTGCGATAACGATAAAGCCTGCGCCGCGAAAGTAACCCGTTTCCGTTTCGCGAAAGCCCGCGAAAAACTCGACGACGATTCTCACTTGTGCGCTTCCTTCCGTGTCTCAATTACGATAAAAAAACAACAACGACAGGTCGATGGAAATATTTTAATATTTTTTAACGAAATTCGTTACGTAATTATGTTGCATTTTTTTCAAGAAAATTGATTAACCCGTCGTAGAAAGAAAAATTGTTTAACATCGTGAATTCGAATAAAATACAGACGTTGATACAAGTATCACATTATTTATACATAATACATGTAATAATTATGTATTAAATCCATTAAGTCCAGGTCGAACGGTGCAGCAATAATAAACCTCGCAAGTGGGGGGCATTATTACCAAAATTACCAACTGATTCATTTTCTATTCATGGAGTTTATGCCAATGTTCGGTTAGCCACTTTTCTGTGAACCCTTTGAAGTCAGAAATCGCACCCTGGCATAAAAGTTTGTACCTCTGACTCGAAACGTCCAACGGTCACTTTCGACGGAAATCGTCGGGATAAACTGCCAGAACGATTCGTTCTCGTCGCTACCGTTTGCAAAATTCGTTAAAATAATTTTAATCGAACCGAACCTTCGACATTTTCTAATTTTGAATTAATTTTGTTCACAGTTTGGTAACACTTGGTATAGAAAGGACGTCGAAAGTCCGTTGCAATCGTTAGAACTCGACCACCCCCTTTAACCCTTGACGAGCGACAATAAACCCCGGGGAGAAGATCGCATACCTGCGTCCAACAACAAAAAGCGCATAATCTCAGAAGTCTGTTGGTCAAACAGCCGCCTCATCTTCGGACCCAATAAAATAATGCAGGACAACAGTTGACTCCAGGTATCGTGGCCCGGAGACATTTGGGACCAACCAGAGAAATAACGAAAAACAACCCCGTAACGTTTTCCAAGGGGGTGTCCGTATGGTAATATCGGTTACCTGAGCCGATTAAACCGTAAGTCGTCCATCTAAGTAAGTCTAAACTGCACAAACACTAAACGTGTTCAACGTTTTGAGTCATTCTTGCTAGAAGGAGATTTTTCGGACGCTGTGAAACCGTAAGTTGGCCGTCGATTAGGGAATGCTTTATCTTGCGTCCGCTCTCTGAGTCATTGGTCGAGAAGAAAGCATTTTCAAAATCCCCAGTCTGCGATCGTTCAACGATATCTGCGCGTTGTTCGGTCATTTTTGTAGCAATGGAACTTTGAAAGACTTTGAGAACTTTGACGAATAAAGTACTATGTTCCTTAGTCAAGACTTTTGGTTTTTTAACATTAGAACTTTGTCCATTGTTAGGACCAAGGAACCGACTCTTTGACATAACAAAAATTGACCGTGATGTCCAGATGGTTCATCGTGACCTGGAGCCAGAGAAAGGGGTGTAAAAGGGAGGCTACCCTCTGTACCTGTCCGGAAGTCAAATTATATTCCGAATAAAAAACAGACAGCCTTGACTCTCAACCGTTTTGTCTTCTACCTGGAAGGGAAGAGGGTCGTTTCGGGAACGAATATCGTATCTTACGGATGCAAACGGTCCAGAGACCGTGTTCAGCGAATCGTTATGACCGTAGAATAATTCACGCTCGTTGGAAATTATTGCAACGACCGACTGCTGGCGATAGTAATTAATAAACATAATTATTCGAAGGTGTTAGTGGAAAATTAGCGAAAGGACCCAGCCATACCTGTTTCCCGTTCGCATACCTGACCGATTCCTGGCACAATGACACCAATTGCTCCGTAATCTGTCGCTGGTTGGTACACAATTCCCCAAAGTATTCCACTTTAAATGACGAAATTTATTTCGTTGGGTTCGAAATTGTTCTTTGGGGACGACCATTCGCGACATCGAATGGAAACTATGTGAATTCAATAATTATTCTCAAAATAAATTGTTAAAATAAGAATGGAGGAGACCTGGTAATCTTATCTGTATCGTACAGAGAAATTTAGGTTGAATCACCGTGCAGACGAAATGCAATAATCATCGAATCGAGAATTGGGAATATCGAGAAATTTACTAATCGTATTATAAACATTAAGAAACCTATCAAATTTATCGAGAATAAAAAATCATTTGACAATGTTAAAAAGGTCGTTGAATCAGAATACTCGGAAATAAAATATTGGTTTAATTTACCCTGAGTACCATTTTTCGTCCCCATAAATAAATTTCCCTTCCATGGAAAACTAGTTTCTTTATGCCTTTTCGAAGGGAAAATTCGATTCTGGGGCGTCGAAATCGCCAATTGTGGCTCGAAAATTTTACAACCGCGTTTCGAAGAAGTATAGCACTGCAATAGAGACGTCGCGACGTTGGCGTTGGCACGTACGCGTCGTCCCAAAGACGTCATTAGCCATCTGACAATTCGTGGGCATCGGTCGCCTCGGAGGAACCTTTCGTTTATGGCGTCTTAATAACGCGATTGCGGATTAACCGAAGCTTTTCAGTCGCTTGTTCGACTCGAGCTCGTTGACCAGGCAACTACTTAATCCCTTTTATTGCGGTCGTCGTTTTACTGTCCCCTTTGAAGCATCTAGACCCTCGAGAAAGTCCCGCAAAGAATTTCCCCGGACCAATCGAGAACATTATACTGCTCTTTCTTTCAACGATCAGTGACGTTATTGACTCTGGAAAGTTTCGAGCTTGGACACCCTTTTCCAGAAACTACGCTCCAATGGCACCCCATCACGTGTTCCCAAATTATTTTCGTTTCATCCGTTTCTAAGAAACGGTGACACGTCATAGAAATTAATAGTGAATTTTTAACAATAAAATAATTTTAAATGGTCCAACTACCCCATGATTTCTTTTTTTCTACCCTTTGCAGGTCAGCTGAAAATTTTGTTCGTAAATTCTTTCAAACGATGGTATTAAACGGAACACTTTGCCACGCTTGTAACTGCAACAATTTCTACCTGTTCTATCCGTCGATTACCCACGATCGTCTACGCCCGAATTCTATTATTATGCACAGGAATTCTGACGCCAGAACGCCTCGTTCCCTCTTTGTCTCTCGAGTCGTATAAATATTTCCGGGAACGTACGACTAATTGCCAACGACGTTAGGAAATGCTCGAGATTAGCGGACGAAAGCTGGAGTTTACTGCTCAAGGGACGCGATCAGAGACGAGATACGCTTAATGGTTTAAGTGCGAGCATCCAAGACCTTGGTTTGGCGATCGAGAAACGATCCTAGGTCCATTTAGTTCTATTTAGAACAAACACGGAGAGAATATTAAGGATACGCCGATCTAGAATTTATCCAAATCTGGTCCCTCGATTCCGGAGCCACGACTTCTGTGATCTGTATGCATTAAACAATTTTCTAGCATTGTGTTCCAGTGTTTTATGGTGTTCTGGATGAGAGCAAGGATCGATGACGGTCCGTGTTTCGTATTTCTGCTGGGATACTGCGGCCAGTTACGAACGGGAAAGTATCGAG